TTATAGTATCAGGCAATGCAGTGGTTGGTCCACTGATGATACATTAATAGCGACGTTTCTTCGCCGTATCTAGCGAGCTTCAAGGTAGGACGCATATACTTGATAGGCAGCGATGTGGTTCGCTGTAGCTTACAGTTTGCTGCAGGAAGGCGAATTTTCAATATACGCTGTTTTATCAGTCTTCAGGCGACAAGCCCAGTGATCTCATCTCATCTTTCATGCAGAGTTCTTACTGACTGTCGTGATTGACAGGATTTGATGATCAAAGGCTCTTTGGTACGCTGTTGAACCAATTTCTTTCTCTAATGATGCCGCTATTTTCTGATCATTGGAGAATGTTCTTATTCAGTTTTGCACGATTTCGGAGTCTACACATTGGAACTTGATTTCTCGAGGTTAAGGCATTCTTTTTTTCCTCTATGGTAGGTAAATCCTTTTCCTTTGAACTAAGAAACTTTCTATTTGTCATATGTTATGCTTTAGTTACATGATGATTTGTAAATTCACTCTTAAAGTCATTTTCACAGTTACCTTATAAGAAATTAAGTTATTAAAACATTTATGCTTTAAGTATTTTGTATTCAGTGGCAATTGTATGTTTTTTTTTCGGTAGAAACGAATTACACACGGTTTGTTATTGCGTTTTAGACAGTTGAGGTTGAAACTTAATTTTAGATTATTTTTCCTACGGTTTTTTGTTTTTAACGAGTTGCAATAGTAAATTTCTTCGATAGTAAATTTTTTGCAGATTTTCAGAGTTTTGCCAGTTTCAGACAACAGCTGTTGCGCCTTTATTATTTAATCATTATGATAATTAAAATATTGATATTTGTATGTGTAGGAGGCCTAGATATAAATAGGCTATTTTTATGGTGGTTATGAGAGTTGATTGTGAAGACATTAAGAAAAGCAAAAGCGCAGTTATTTGTTTTAGTTAACTTGCCGTTTTTCAGAATAAACACCTTAAGAGGGACGAAGGATTCACTACTTTGCGGCATAGGCGAAGGTGTCATTTGGATGCTTATAAACCTTGAACGGGTCGGATTTTAATTTGTTCTATGAACCTTTCTTCAAGGATGGGGAAAGTAGATTGCCTACGGGTGATATTTCGGGTTGTCTGAAAACTCACATTCGAAGAAAAAATAATTTGCATCATTCGAATCCTCTGCGTAAAAAAATAATAATTTTTGACAGAATTGCGTGAAAAGTAAGTACGTACTTTTGGTGAGATATTTTTAACAGAAATATTTTTCATTTGAAAACAGTTTAGTGCAAAGTTTTGTAATGGCATTTATAGGATGATTAGTAAATTCGTTTCTAATACGTTAACAGTCTACCACACTCGATTCGACTTGCTCTCTCTGTTTTGGTTCCTTGCAGAAGTGCTGTGAATTTTTGGTGTATGAAGGCTTTATCCTTGTTCTTTACGGTCATCATACTTTTACCTTTAATTTATTTAACTGCTTATAAAGTATGTAATTATTTAGAATGATATGCTGAAATTTTTAGCGGATCAGGCTCTTCTTTACGAGTTCGCACAGTCGCTTGCTGTTCGAACTTTCCTGCGCATGCGCAACTTGCCGTTTACTTCTGAAAAGCGTCGCAATGCTCCGTACATCTCTCCAACAGGTAAGACTTTGTTGTTTTGACAGTTTAAGGTGTTTTGGAGGGACTCAAATCAGTCCTTTCCTGTCTAATATAATTAGATGATAGATAAAATAAGAGACGGTTGGAAGCCTTGAAAAATATATTTAATAAAGTGAAACGTGTTTCTTGTCCGGCACAAATTAATAATCGTAGACACAGACAGCAAAGTTCAGTAGGTAAACAATTATGGCATTGCGACGAAAAATTATTTGATTACCGAGGAAGAAAAGTAATAGAAAAGGAATGAAGAAAATGATGCATGAAGGCAGAGATGATAAATGAATGAATAAATGAAGATTAGATAGTACAAATCTCAAGTAGGACCGGATCCTGAATGACATCAAGATATTGTTAGGACGAACCATCCAAAGCATTCCGGGATTTTAGCAAACTTTTTAGAGTGCAGGTATAACTTTAATAGAAAATGTGTCGGCATCCTTGACTATGAAAAGGACAGGCTCTGCGTTCTCGTTATGGAATCTATACAAATTTTGCTTAACAAGGAAAAAGTGTATAACAGCTACACATTTTCTAAATTAATATTTATTTTTGGCCAAAATTTAAAACATCCCGACAGTCATTAACTTTCACGACTTTCTTGACTGCTCTAGTTTCAAAATCCAGTTCATCCTCTGTGTAAATTAACTTAAAGTTCTATTGTGTATTCGTTTGTTCTTTTACATCACGACTGTTTGGTTTTATAATTTGCTGTTGAATTATATACTGTAGCCATTTGTATTGTGACAAATTATTACGGTGATTGTGCTGTAGGTCAAAACCTGATTAAAATAAAAGAGTAGCTTATGCTACGCCCAACACCATTTAAATTGAGAAAAAGTGATAAGATTTATTACCTTGGTATGTACTGAAAATGATGTTCTGCAGAGAGTACAAACTAAATTATTCAGGGTGAGACTCTAACTAGATGAAAGATACCTGAAGCTTATTTCTTCGTTTACGCAAGCTGTACAAAATGCTTTAATGGAGGCAGATTTGTGTATGATTAAACCTCAGTAATGTTGTGCCACTCTTCGGAAGATCTTCACAGCCTTGCTACCAGTGCTCTCTAGGTTTTCACTTGTATGTTTTATAGTGGCAGAATGCTCTTCATGTCGATGCTCCAAGGTTGCCATATGCTTCTTTAGACGGAGTTTAACGCGTTTTTTTGTTATAGCGGAATGAAGCTTTTGACAACCTTTACTATCCATTTTGTGCATAGCCCAGCTTTTAAACAAGTTTTATCTTATAAAATGTTCGCCATGCAAAATGTGGCGTGGGGTGTTGCCTGCCTGTTTTACAGATGACTTTGGACAGACCAGTCTTAGATGGTGACAGAGGGGTGGAAATAAATGCACGTGAAAAGATAAAGATGAACTATTTCGGATATGTTGAGATGAGAGGTGCAAATTGTAATTTCGATAAAAGATATGATGTTAGAAATTATTGCGACCCCGGCCACTGATATTTCAGCTGTAAGTACTGAGAGATGATTGTGATAAGTCATCGTCCTTTTGAAATTATTAGTAAAGTACGATCGACTACTGCACAACTTAGATGTATAAGCGATTTCAGGTTTTCAATGCGGGAAACGGAATTACGGAGAATTCACATAATACTCTCATTGATTGTAAACTCTGTCCTCTTCTCATCATTAAGACCAATTAAGAAATTAAGGAGGACAGAAGAAGATTGATTTCGTTCAAGAAGTAGATAGATGCCGTCAAAACGTCGTAGCTGCAGTAGAAAGAAGCTTTCGCCCGAAGAGGACAGATCTAAAGCGGAGGATTCATAGTTATTCATGAAAATTTTCCAATGTTTAAGCAGGTGGGCAATTCCACGACAGGCCGATTGTCGATAGGAGCTTTTATCGTGCAAAAAGCAAGTGTTTCAGATAACGTCTGTGTAGCTTTCATACGCTTCACTTATTAAATATATTTTTCCATGTTCAAATCGATTTTCTTATTATTAAGAGACTGTTAATATCTTTTCAGACTGAATGATTAGAGAATCTTCCTCATTTTCTAAGCAGTACGTATTGGAATGAGAACGTTTTCAGCCATTCAAATGCCGATTTTACCTGCACTACGGTGACTATTGCGATTTGTAACATTTTCTTTTCTACAGTTTGTGTAGCGAAACGCATCGGCAATAAACTGTTTAACCATCTGTTATATTTGGTGCCTTGAACGATGAATCGTTCAAATACTTATCTCTATATATCCTCGGCCCAGAATCATAAACTTGAAGTATTATTTAAACTACTTTTCTGTCGCATCTTTCTGCTTACAAATTTTAACACTGACTTATGAATGTTTCAGGTCTTTTGCCTGTGCTGCAGTCCGGTTCGGTGCTTGTATCGGGTTTTGACGCAATCGTGGAATTTATCGGTTTGAAGGTTAGTGGTAACGACGGTTCAGGTTCAAAGCACTGTGTTTCTCTCTTCAATTTCAGGATTGGCAAACTGCTGACAGCCTTTCGGACTTACAGGCGATCGATGTCCGTGCGAGCTGTTGTTATGTGATGGAGATGCTGCTGAAAGCGGAAGTAGGTATCCCGTTGACGATTAACCTCGTGACTTATGTGCAAAACTGGACGGTGATATAAAGCTCATTTCTGAAGGGTGCAAACCATGTTTTGCCATATGCGCGACATTTCTAGATTATTTGGATCTGCTCAGCATAGTGTTTCGTATTTCGATATTAGCTGGCAAAAGCCGTTATATCCGCATCTATAAAAAACAAGAGAAAAATTATGGTTTCACATTGTGCTGATTATTACACAGCCTTCAGTGAGCCTTCAGGTGGGTCCAGATGAAGTGTAGCACCAGCAGGTGTCGCATCCGTACAACTCAATCATCCTGATATGACCACGCCGTAATGCCATGTTTTCGTATTATTCGCAAGTCACCTACTTACCACCCGTTTCTCAGCTGATTGCGTCGAAGTAACGTAAGACTAATTACTTGGTCAAGGGAAGTCGCGGTTAAGACAAAAGTTAAGACCTGGTGTAAAAACTGTCATCCGTCTTACACTTCCGCAGACTTCTGTAAAGTAAATGAATGAATAATGTACTTTTCAGTTTTGGCCATGTAAATCCGGTGTCAGTAGTTTAAAGATAAGACAGAGATTGTTCCTTCAGCGGATTCGAACCCAGCACCCCTGGAGTTAATAACCGACCTGTTTGCTACTGTATCATCATGCCTGAAAACTTTGGTAGGACGCAAATCGCCTGACTGATCTTTGGCCCTATCATACTTGACCAGTCTTCAGTATTATTATTATTATTATTATTATTATTATTATTATTATTATTATTATTATTATTATTAT